AAAGGAAGACAAACAAATATTGTATCCTTCATGTAGGATTTTTTATTACAGGCAGAAATCACAACAAAATATATTGGAACTTGGAAGTTCATCTAAATTGATTAATTGTACTTCACAATTGGAGAATAATCTACTCCTCACAATTACAATTGTTTACAACATGTGTATACAAATTTACCAAATCACATTAGATGGTCACTACAAAAAAATTACAAAGTACAAATTTTGCAATAATTCATGTAAAAAATTAGAACGGAACCCAAAATGATAAGAGAAAAGGCCAAAAATAAAAAAGCTAGCCCACACTTCATACAGCTCGTGTGGATGGCCAAAACCAGCCCCGACTTGTCTCTTCACGGCAATGCACCCATCGTAGGCCAGTGCCACTACACAAAACTGAAAAGGGACAAAGACAATGACCATCATGGCATCGCTTCCAGAAACACCCCCACCATTTCATAACAAATCTATGAATTCTGAGCAAAAGCTTTTATTTTCAATTTTAAATTGAACAAAAATTGGAGCATGGTATTGGTACCCTTACCCTTTAGATTTAGGTCTGAATCTAGAACAAGCCCCAAAAGGCAGATACAATCCATGAAGTGTTCACGAAAAGAAAACTAGAATGTTTGAATGGAAATTATTGAATGCCATATTTGAAGATCTTCAAGAAGTGCAAATAGTAATACAAGAATTCAAATTCAGTTATTCCTAATTTCAACAGCAAATCCATAATATTGTACATTTTCATTTTTATAAGACTATTCAAATACATCAAGTTAAAAATAAGATATAATCTATATATATATAATAAGAATTAACATTTACCATAAATAGTAGTAAGAAAAAGTCAACCATATTTATTATATACTATTTTTAACAACTTTAACATTTTAATTTTAATTCATTATCAAAAAATTGAATAGTTCCTAGATTAATGGGTTTTAAATGCACGTATCATGTTTCAAAAATTATAAATCATTTAAAATCGGAGGATTTCTAAATTAATGGTTACAAACTTTTCAAAGTTGTAATCTTTTTGGCATCTTTTCTTTTTGACTTTTAATGATAAAATTATTTTAAATATATATATTCTAATCCAAAAATTCAATCATGTTAAATATATATATATATATATATATATATTGAACGCTAAAAATATTTTTTAAATTGCATACCCAATCAATTAATCTTAATTTTTTTAAATTACTATCTTTATTTTTTATTAATATGCATAAAATGAAAATAAATAGTTCATCTTTAGATATATAATTTATAATCTTAATATACTATCATTTGGTGTAGACATATGAATCATAAAATATTTTTATTTCATAAAATTAAATATTATATTTAAAGAAAAACAAGGAAATTACTTTGGATCAATCGGGTGATTGAATTAAGGTACTGCCCACTTTGATTGAATTACTTTTAGGTGATATTTAAAATAGTCAAAAAACTTGACACAACTTGGTTGGTCCGAGGTAACTAAGTTATGTATCAGTTTGACCAGACCAAATTGATTATTGAACCTAAATATAAATTTTAATATTGAAAATACTTTATTACGTGAATGTGATGTAGTCCAAACTTCAAATAATCATATTAACAATACTTTTATGACACCATGATTAATGATTTATGAATATTTATATATCATTTTATCATTATTTATGTGAACAAAATATTTATTTGATTATCATTTTTATTAATGTACGGTAAATATAAGGTTTTCAGAATTGGGCCGTCTTGTGGTTGTTCGGATTTTAATACATAATACTTTTTGTAATAAATTTAAATAAAAAGTGTTACTTAAATATCTAAACAGTTTATAAATTCAAATGTTTAAACTAATTGATAAACAATTTATAAATCTCTATTTTATTTAAAATATGTAATTTTATTTAAAATAATTTTTCATGTAACAAAATTTGTTTAGAAAATCGTATCGATCTTACCAGTCCAACATACTGGTGTTGGCGGATTCGATAGCAAATATTTTATTCAAGCGCACTAAATCGGTTATAAACCGGTTCTCGGTCCATCCGGTCGGACTGTGTCCAACCCGGTTTAATTTATGAATAATGCGTAAATCATGATTATTGTTATTTATTTATTTAATTTATAATACAATCAAAATATTATTTTCCCGTGCATCGCACGGGCCACGTACTAGTGAACTAAAATCTAACAACACATTTCATTTCTATAAAATGAAATCTAAATAAACGCATTTCAATCATATATAATGATTATAAACAGCATGCGCTTCATTTTCATTCATACATCATGATTAAATACAATAGAGCAAATAAGCATCTTCAATACTGCTAATAATTGTACCAAGGCTAGTTTACTCTCAAGAACATCAAATATACCATTAGAAGATTGTATTCCAACCTGCTCACCAATCCCCGATGCAAGCAGCTCCAATTTGGGCTCTTAGATTCTACTTCACATACACCATCTTCTCCAACATTTGTTCCATCCAAATATTCAGTTGAGAAGATATAGATGTTATCCATTTTTCTGTAAATATAACAAAGAAAAAAGAAGAAAAAAATCCAATTTCATCTTACATGTCTAAACTTGAAAATATTATAAGTTAACAAACAATTAGCAATAAACTGCAGACGGTCGGCTCGTGAAAAACGAAATAAGACTTAATCGGAGATGTGGGAAACGATTACTGGACTTAGGCGGAGACAAACGTAGACAGCCGAAGACAAAGGGAGACGAGAGGACACGACCAGAGGTGGGAGAAGACGAGTGGAGACAACCAGAAACGGGCGGCGGAGGAGGCAAGCGTGGTCGGTCAAAAACGGCAGAGACGAACAGACACGGGAGGAGGCGGACAGAGACGACGGTAAACGGGCCGCGGAGTCGAGCATAGACGGGCCGGAGACTCCCCAAGACAACCGGAGACGGGCGTAGGTGGGTCGAAGATAACCGGAGACAGAAGAGACGGGCGCAGACGACTGGAGACGAGAAATCTGATATTTGGGGTTAGGGTTCGAATTCGATTTCTCTGCTTTGAGAATCTGATGGATTTTTGTATTTTGTATTTTTTTAATTAAAAATATTGGTTTGGTGGGTGGTGGTGAGTAACGTAACCATGGTTTATTGGTTTGGTTGATTTTTTCTCTCTCCTGCAAAATTTTTTCAAAAGGAAAAAAGGAAAAAAGAAAAGAAAATTGAAATATACACGTAAGGTGGTAAGGGCACGGCAGCATCTAATTAGCCAATAAGGCCTTGTTTACTTTGCCAGACAGGATTACACTAAATAATCCGAATCACTTTACACGTCAGTTTTCTCTCCCTTGTTTAGCTATTTTCCGAAACAAATTTATTGTCTACTTTGTGGGACTAATTGATAAGATAACTGGTCAAATAACAAATTTGCCCCTGAAACATAATAGATGAAAAGATGCAGACGAATTTTACTTATCACGCCTCATCTGATTTTTGCCCTCTTCTCAATTTCAACCGAAACCTAATTTGGAGTGGAAGGCGAGGTCGACTACGAGCGCGATATTCCGACGACGACCGGCGAGTGAAGACTGAAGAGGACGACGTTACTCCGGTAACACGGCACCTCCATACCCCCCAACAGATTAGGATTTCTTCAGATCGAAAAAATAAACCAAAAACAAAAAAAATATGATTACTAATCCATTAATCAACTAAACATCACAGTGGTTGAATATTTCATGATTGGAACACAACAAATGGCGAATTTCGACCTTACCTTTTGGCCAGACGTAAATACCGACGCCATATGCCTTCTTCCCACCTCTCGTACTTGTCTCTGCAAAACTAGGGCAAATGGTCGATCATCTTTTTTTATATGGTTTAAATTTGTAAATATGTACAAATAGCAGGGTATTTAAGTCTTTTGGCAGCCACAATTGAGGACAAAAAGGGCATTCTGCCGATGGGATTAAATAATCAGAGGGGGGAGGCCGGATGAATTTATCGGGAAGCAGCGGATTTCATTATCATAGTGCGCGCCACATGTGCGCCACCTCATCCAAATCCCATCCAAATCCATGTAAGTAAACGGCGGATTTCCAGGACTGTTTTAGTTCTTTTATCCTGTCCCACAAAGTAAACGCCCCCTTAAAATATTTCAACTTTGAGATTGTATTAGAAGTGAATAGTGATGGGGCCGTTATGTTTCCTCTAATGATAATCAAGTTTGAAAATAATATGCCAAAAAAGAAAGTTATTTTTTAGATAATTTCACAAAGAGTAGGTCTTGTAGGTCTTTTGTTAGACTATCGAATAGTTAGATCTTCATATTTTTCAATAAAAATACATACTTTCACACTCAAATATCAGTACTATAAATCACATTTTGTTACATACTTTCACACTCAAATGTCAGTACTATAAATCACAGTTACATACTTTCACACTCAAATGTCAGTACTATAAATCACAGTTACATACTTTCACACTCACATGTCAGTACTATAAATCACATTAAACAAAAGTATGACACTTTATAATATAAATATATATTTTAATGGGAAAATTAGGCGGTAGCATTTGTGGTAGTATCACCAAACATCATTGATTTGTAGTAGTTGATCATTAATGTATAGAAATGTGGTATTTTAAGTTTCTATATTATGCAATAATTCCAATTATATTAATTTAATTCATATTATTTATCACTATTCTCATGCATCTATAGGTTGAACTTCTAATGTGGGTTATATCAAAAAATTAATGCTGTCGAATTTTCTTATTTAAGTTTTAACCCTTTTGGTTCTTCTATTGGAAATTGGAAGTCAGTTTTTGCAGCTGGAGGCAGAGTGAGTCTCAAGGCAAATTTCAAGTTTTCAACGGAAGGGCTATGATTGTGTGTGAAATATTTCTTCCATTTGTTTATTTTATACTTTGAGAAAATTATACCATCTACTTTCAGTTATTATTATTTAATTTTTTATATTGACGAAGTTTGTATTTTAATGACAAATAGACTATTTTTTACAGCAGGAATTTTTTATCATTAATTTCTAAACTGTATTATTTTATTTTATTTTTTTTTTGACAAATTTATAAACTAGTACAAAACAGTCATATATTAAATGTGTCTAACTCAAATAGATAAGTTTTTTATTTAAATTTAATATTAAAAAAATACATTACTATTTTATTTAAATGATATTCTTACCCTTTATATATTATAATAATTTTTGTAATTCACATCATATGATGACTTTCTAAATATATTTTAAATTAATATATAATTTTATTATTATTTTTTAATTAGTTTAGTTTTTATAATAAAAATAAAAAATATGTATTTATTTATTTTGTATATACAATATGGATGTCAAATCGAATCTCGTAAAGTGATTATTAATTTGATATATTATTTATGAAAATTGATAACAAATAATATGTATTTATAATTTAAGTTAATCAATTGTTTTATAATTTTTAAATCGGTATTGATATACCGATTTGTTTCGAGATCTCTTGTAACCTAACATGAAGGATTAGAATTTCGAAATTTGATACATAGCATTTTGAAGCATCAAAATTTGACACCTTGGCTCGATATCCTATGAAGCATCAAAATTCAACACATAAGCTTAGGAGCCTTTGCATTTATATATAAGGAGGGATGAATTATGTATGGTTTTATTTTGAATATCGTATTTTGAATCTGCAGTAAGTATGTACAATATAGGTAGTGAATTCTAAAACTAACCTTGCACTATTTATTTCATTTGATAATTCCTTGGACACACTGTACTCATATTGGGCTTCTACCAATGGTTCTGCACCCAGTTTTGGGTCTTAGTCCACTTCGATTTTTAACTTTTTTATCAACTCAATTTCTGTGCGTTTAAACAATGGCAGTGCTTCAATTTTTCAATCCGACAAATGTGTCAATTTTGCAAATTTTCTTCCAATAATTTTAATACTTGAATCTCATATTTTTCATACGTAGTTGATATTTTATTGAATTGTTTTACAACATATCATAATGACAACAATACTATTCATTTTTGTATATTGTATTAACTTTTTAAGTTATATTATCATACATTACATTCACTATCCCAATTTTTACAATTTCTATTGGACTAAATTTAAAATTTTATTCTAATATATTGTGACCCATTAAACAGCACGATTATAACCTTCTGACGTTAAAACTCTATCAACTCAAAGGGGTAACCAAAGATTGATTAGAAACACTACCAATGAGATTAAGCCTAATTACACAAACTAGTTATCATTTATATTAACAAATACCCATATATTATTAATCTCCATTAATTCCCAAAGATCTATTGCCTGCAGATCCATGATAGTATTATACAATAATAAGACTGCAAAGGACAAGTGCTAGATTTTTCACATATACATATACTTTCATATTGAAATGTCATAATAAAAATAAAATAATAAACATAAATAACAACATCTAATTTAATTGCACAAGTAAATATTTTTATTAAAAAAAATATGGCGAGTCCACCTCTTTTAACTGTCCGAGCTGCTAAAATGCAGCATTTGTGGCTATGCAACATACAAACACAAGGATTGATTCACTGATTGAGATAGACATAGACATAATTATATAACAAACATATTTCAAATTCAACCACTATACTTTCACTTAACTTGTACCAAAACTTTATGTCAAGTTTTGCAACACTTTTCTTGAGTGCACTCAGCATAATCAAGGGCAAAGTATTCAAAGCTTAAAGCTAAATCCACACATTTTGGCCCCATTTTCTTGCCACTATAAAGACAAAAAGAAAAACAACTCATTTGTGTTCTAAGAACATCAAACATTCTTGCCCATAAAGTGAACATATTCACACTCACACTAGGTGAAGACATATTCCCCATCTGAGTTATGTTGTATTTAGTAAGCATATAAGCTAGCTTCTAGCCTATTTGATTAGCTTATAAGCTTCCTGTATTCAAATAACCTTAGTTTGATAGGACGAACTTTTTTAAATAAGCTTAGTTTTAAAAGTTCGACCTTATCTCATAAGCTTCTTTGGGTATCTTTTCAAATAAGACAACTGAATTTTTTTTAGCTAATTTTATCAAACACTTTTATCATATAAGCTAGCTTTTCAACCATAAGTCATAAGCTCAAAATTCACTTAAAAAAGCTATAAGCTAGCTTATCAGCTAGGTTTACCAAACATAGCCTTGGAAGAAAGGACATACAAAAAGACTACAACGCGTTAAAAAATTTTCTGTTTCGTGACAAGAGTTTATGCAGTTCATATTATATAATTTCCATTTCTTGACATTTTTGTTTTTCACTTTTTGCAGTGTCTAAAAGTTTTTCTTTTGATACAGAACTCAAAACCAGTTCAGACGATTTGACAGGAGACTTACTATTTCCCTGTGTTAAGGCTCGACAGAGTTGAAATGATTTCAGAAAATTGCGGGCGTTTTGAGGGGCAATTGTTCCAGCAGTTTATCATGAGATTCTGAAGGATATGTGGGCAAGATTCTGGGATATCGGGCCTGAGCCCGCAAGCTGCTATCCCGACTGCAGCTTGCACCGGCGAATAAGCTGAATAAGCTATCTCTCCAGTCACCATTTCCCATAATACCATCCCGAAACTATATGAGTTACTCATCCATGTCTCGGATACACTTTCTGGATCACCCGAGATTATCTGTGTTTATAAGACAGAACCTTAATTGGATTACATTTTCCGGAGGGAAAAAAAAAAAAGAGAGAGAGAGAGATGTTATTTCCACAAATACCATTAGCTAGTGGAGAAGGACTAACAAGCTTGACTAAGAAAAGGGAAAATAATACATAATGCAGCATCACTCGATATGCAATGAACTAGTCAGTGTAAAACATGAAATTGTGTAAGCAAATTAACTAAAAAACAACATGGGAACCACTCAAACACCACCCAAATCCACCACTAGATTGTTTAGTAGATGATTAGTGCAGATTAAGAATAAACAAATCTTTGGGATACACAATGGGCTCTAGAGGGAAACACATTACACAAGACAACGCAACATATTACACATTTTGATTATGCACATAATTACAAATGCCTCCATTATTAAAGTAAAATATTAGAATTCCAACCTTTTTGACAGCATTTGCTAACAGAATTATTGCAACGGTGCTGAAAAGTAAGAAACCTCATCATGTCAACACAAATCATGGCAAAAAACAATTAAGCCTCACTTTCTGAACATGGCCTGAAGGAATATAGCAAGATATAATTCAAGAAGCAACAGTTTTCATGGCAACAAATTAAACCTCACTTTCTGAATAAAAGGAAAAATGTATATTTCAACTATGATCCCCCTCCAAACGAAAAAGAAAAGAAAATAAAAGGAAATATATATATTTCAACTAGGGAGCACAATATAAAAATTGATAAGTGATTCACCAGAATAAAATTGGAAAGAACCATGACATCAAGAAACCAAAAACAATTCTCTTTTCTTTGATCTAACACTTTCTGAAGAAGCCCTAAAATATAGTCCCAATGCTTCAGAAACTAGTTGAAGCACAAGTCATGGTAATTCTGGCTTGCTCATTAAGCTACTCATTGAGCTGGTAGGATCCTAAAGTGTTCAGTCTCTACTTTAATCACCCATTATACTCTCGAAGAGATTCTAACAAACATCATATGGCACAATTTAATTCAGCAGAAAGGAGCCACCGAGAAAGATGTATTAAGAAAAGATTGCCATGATTAAGAGTTAACAAAATGTAACAAACAAATTTTAAACAAGAAAACAAACCTCTGGAGCTAGCCACCTATAACCATCAGTTTCATACTCCATAGCCTCACCAACACTATTGCAAGCCGCAACTATTCCCACATCCCCTAAGCAAGCATTCAAATGTTTATCCAACAGTATCCTCTGTGTATTCAAGTCCCGATAAGCGACTCCATGATCGTTCAAGAACTTGATTCCCACCGCAACATCCATCACGATCCTCAGAATATCTCTCATCTGAAGCTTTTTGTTCTTCAGAATCAATTCATAAACCGATCCTCCCTCCATCAGCTTAGTCACGATACACAACCCTTGATTCTCATCGACACAAACACCATGAAAAGGCAAGATATTCTTGTGCCCGCAGGTCATCAGCTCCAAAAAATCTTTCCTCAGCTCAAACTCATAAGCATTTCCTTTATCACACCCCTTCAGCTTCTCGATCCCCACTTTTTTCCCCTTATACATCCCCTTGAATGTATTTGGCCCAATCGAATCTGTAATTTCAACAGCATCGTGATTTAGCAACCATCCCCCGATCCCATCTCGACCAGAAGTCACGGTTTGCCACTCATCCACAGAAACCACGATCGAGTCATCGGGCAAAGGCATGATTAACCTAGGGATTGATTCTGAATTCTCTCCTCCATGCCTGTTGTTATTATCAGCACTGCAATCTTCGTCAATGGCCACTGGATCTCTCCCTTTAGTCCTCTGATCTTGGCATCCACAGAGTCCGAAGGGAAGCTTTATGGGATTGTTTTTCGGTCTTTTTAATGCTGCTTTAAGTGCATTCTCGATCTGGGTTCTGATCGTCTTATCCTGTCCCGAATGAACTGACAGCACAACAACTCCAAGAGTGAACCCTTTCTTCTCAAAGATCTGCAACTTCTTGCAGCAAATTGAAGAACTGTCTAATGTCCCTGACATGGATGGCCATGAAATAGCAGAGTTACAAGCAAATGTAAGCTTAAACACATTCGCATTCACATTTCTTTCTTCATCCGACATATCCTGGATCATAATCGCTGGCTGGTCACTAGCCGATGCTTGTTCTATCAATTTTATGTGCAGAAATACATCTTTCATTTCAAATCCAGCTTGTGCATAGCTAATCAATCAGAGGCAGGAAAACAAAAATTTTGAAATAAGAGGGCATTTCGTTTCAAACACTTTGGGGAAAAGGAGATGAAGACAAAATCACTGCTCGCACTCACCTGAGGGGCAAGGAATCGTAGTGCTTGCGGATATTGGAGACCAACTTCTCGGGCAGCTGGCTGCCGGGGTACAGCTGCGTCAAGCTCCGCACCACACTTCCCCACACGTGCCTCCGGCAGCCGGAGGGGCCGGAAACCGGCGGCTCACGAGGCGAATCGAGGTTCAGAGTGTTCTTAAGCGAAGCAATGGCCTCCGATACGTTGCGGCTCAGCCTCTGGAAGCGCTTCTGGAAAGCCGAGGACTCCCGGAGGGCGGCGGCGGCGGCGGCGGCAGATGCGGAAGATGAGGAGGAGGAGGGGTTGTTTTCCGGCGGGCACTCGGATCTGTTGTTGGTTCGCATCAGAACCTGCTCTACCATGTCCTCATCGGTGCTTGCCCGGCTCGACCAGCACTCCAAAGCCGCGGCCATGGCTGCCAGAGGTGGAAACTTTTCGAAGGACGGTTCGAATGACGCACTCGAGCAGTACTAAAATACACGAGATTTTTGAGATGCTGCCAGTTTTTTGTTTTACCTTTATTGTTTTTTCTTCTGACATGAGCCATAATGATCTCCATTAATTAAAGCAAGAAAAAGGGTAGAAAGGTTAAAAACAAGTTACGAAGAGGGCGGTTAGATTTTGGAAATTCAGAAGTTACTTTTGGGTTTTCACAAGTCACTAGTGTTGATACCGTGCGAATTGCACGGGGTGCATTATAAAATGTATTTTTTATTAAAATATTATAATATTATTTAAGATAATATTAAATCATGTTTTTTACAATATTTTATTCAGTAATAATATAACATTTATTTATTTACTATTATTATTAATTTCTATTTTTATATTTTTTTTGTAGTTTTTGACTATTTAATATATAAATTTTATTATTTATAAGTTTATAAAATATTATAAATATATAAGATCATATGATATTTGCATACAAATTACTTGTATATACTTATAAATTTGTCATTGATCATAGTATTATATTTTTTTAGCAATTCATAATTTGTGCATTGCTTGATAATGGACCAATGTTTATCCCATAATGTTTATCTTCCGCTATAATTATTAAGTGCATTAAATGTTAAAAATTTTGATAAATAAATTTTAATTTTTAGTAACTTTAATCCTTATGCAACACACAATTTTTTTATGGTTATCTATTTTATTTTTACGTTTCTATTTTTTATATATATTTATTTATTTAATTTATTTTTTTAACCTATATAAAGAGTTACATAGTATCTATTCGAATATTTAGATATATTATATATTTCCAAAATTACCAAATTTTATAATCTAAATTATTATACATTGTCTTTTTATTAAATTATAATCTTTTATAAAATAGTATATAAGAAAAATAAAAATATTTTTAAAGATTGAATAGTTTTTCATGTACATAGATACTTCTAAGATAAAATTTATAATTCTGAATTGCACCCGACCATTAAATTTTATTTTTATTAGTATATTATTTAAATTTTCAATAGTATTATCACTGTATATGATATATTCAATGGGGATGTACCTTTTTATAGTTAAATTGACTACATTTTTGAAACTTTTATTGATATTTTAAATTATTTATTAAGTTATTATGATTTAAACATAGTTATTCTGATTATTTTATTAAATATTTAAGTACTTCTGAATAATGAATATAATTAATTAAATTAATACCTACAACCATTGATGATAATATTTTTAATCAAATCAATTTCCATAATAATTTTTTGAATTGTGTCAATAAATTACTATTAAATTAACATAAGATTTTATTGAAAATATATCTAATAAATCTACGGTCAAAATTTCAATTTAAGACAATTTTTAGTTAATGAGTAATAGTCATTGAGTGTATAAAAATTAATATATTTTTTCATGCATGAGATTTGCTAACAAAAAAATATTAATTAAATGTCAAATATGGACGAAAAAATTTTCCGCCCAAATTCATAGCAATTATGGTAATAAAAATTGATCTATTATATAGATATAGATATAGATATAGATATAGATATAGATATAGATATAGATTGGTGCAAAAAATAAAAAATGGTAGGCTTTGGGTATATATATGTCAAGATAAATATTTTTATATTTTGAGTAGGCCAATAACATTAATTAAGCCCAAAGCCTATAATTTAAGTGAGGCTAGAACACTAAGTAGGCCCACTTAAAAAAAGTATCTCAGCTCTCAGTTGGCCCAACTATCAACTCTCTCTAAATACATAGCCCAACAACTAACTAGACAATGGCAACCCGACATAAATTTTAGATAGGTGGATTTATGTTCTTCTACACAAAAGTATAAGTGAATTTCGAACTTATAATTGATACCTTATGAAGCAAGAGTGCAAAGTTAGCTTATATGAGAAAACAAGGTTCTAAAAACTGAATCGGTCATCGAACATACTACTGGTTCAATGTTTCATTGGTCCGACCAGTGGTTGAATCGGTTGGAACGATATTAAATTTATTACTTACTAGTATTTTTAACCATATACAATGTTTATATATAAAAATTTATTAATAAAAAATTAAGCTAATTTAAAGCATTCAAATACTTAAACTAACTAATAATAACTTATAAGTATCCATTATATTTAAATATGTACTTTTTTATTTATTTTAAATATATTGAAAAAAAAACTAGATTGGTTCAAACCGGTCCAATGTGACCGATTTTTGGCCGGTTCTACCAGGTTTTGACTGGTTCGCTAGCAACCGGTTCATTCCAGCAAACCGCACATGTCAACTGTCCGGTCCAATTTTCTAAATCATGGATAAAGGGCGTTTGGTAAAATGAGCTGATGAGCTAACTGAAATAAAAATTTCAATGGACTTCTTTGAAAAGTTATCAAAAGAAGTTTATAAGATAAGGTTGAGTTTTTTAAAAAAGCCCGTTTTATCAAATCAAGCTTATCTAAATAGAAGAAACTTATAAACTAATCAAATAAGTTATAAGTTAGCTTATATTCTTACCAAATACAGTCGTATTTATCTTTATATTTTTACTCATAGGATGAAATAAAGGCCGATTTACATCTCTACCTAAACTTTTGCAACGTTTTTCTTAAATGCAACCTTTTAGAAAAAATAATTTTATATAAAGAATACATTTTTATTGTAAATTTATGAGCTTTTTCCTTTATAAATTTATGTATAATTTACATATAGTTTATTATAGGTTTGTGTTATTAAATCTCATAATATGGCAAATAAAAAAAAAATTCATTTAACATGTATCAAACATAAATAATTAATAAACATCAACTAAACATTAATCTCCAATATCATGAATAAATCAAGCATTCGAACTGAAACATGATCAACTATACATATACGGAATATAAATTATAATAAAATCAAAACTAAGAAAATATATCATTATATCATAATCAAACCATCAACAAGCATCAATTAAGTTTGTCTTTGCCTTTGGACCACGGAACAAGGGTGCAGCGGGGCGGCGGCGTAGGACAGAGTGGCGCTCACTCCCGTCTTTCTAATTTGTGAAGGCGACACTTGATCTGACAAGCAGATGGAGTCCTCTCGAGCTTCTTGTATTCTAATCCAAACAATCTGTACACCTTTGGTTAAAAACAATAATTGAATTGAAGAAAATTAGTTGGTAACAAAACCAATCTTTGAACCCAAAAATACAGAACGAAAATGGTTTGTTCTATTTTTGTTGTTATTTTCGTTATTGGTTTGCTTGTATTTTTCTCCCATTTTGGGTATTTTCTTAGATTTTAGGTTCATTTAGTGGTTTATCGCGTGTTTCTTTTATTTTGGATTATTCTATGTTTTCTTTTGTTTTTCCTGTATTCGCGTATTTTTCTTGTCGTTAGAGGTGTGCAAGTTCAGAGCGTCGATCGAGTATTAGAATTTCAACCAAACTAAGGAGAAATTGGTCGTCCCAGTCATGAGAGTATAATTCTCTAGAAGGCTGTGTCGGGGATGAGTAACAAAAGACGGAACTCAATTTTGAGTTTGGATGAGCTCATAAGAGCCCGAGACGCACAACCGGCTAACAGTTGCACTCGTGCATCCAAACCTTGCCCAGCTCGTCCCAAGCCTCTCCCGAGCTGACCAACGCGCTCCGGCAGCATCCCGAGCAGACTCGTGCATTTCACGCAACACACCCGCAAACAGCGCCCAGGACTCCACACACATCGCACAGAGCGTCGCACGTTTTCGCAACCCCGTTTTCGGCGTCGCGCCCGCGAGCATCGGCGCATCGCGCCCACGACACCTGGCAGGCCTACCCAACCTCGCACCCTCGACACCTGGGAGCGTCGCTCCTGCGGCGGGTCTCGTGCCCGCGACGCCAGAAGTTCAAAAATGCACTTAGACATAATTGTAGTTTGATTTTGAATCCTATTTTCTGGGGACTCGTGCCCAGGGTTAAAAAGACTTTCAGAACTCATTTTTCTAAGTTTTTCTTACTTGGGGAACATCTTTCCCTTTTGATTCTTGATCTTGGAGGGTGACACTCCAATAATCAATTTGTAAATAGTTTCTTAGGATTGTTTTTCCGCTTTTATTTTCTCCCATGCTTAGATTGATGGAAATAAAGACATGGGGATCAAACCCTTGCAATTCCTAACCCGATTGTAAGTTTTCAATTCTACATTATTATTATTGTTGATTGGTTTTATGTTATTTAATCTGATTAACATGGGATTAAATCCAAGAATGAGATAATTCATTCACCTAAGGTTAGGGACGTTGATTCTTGTTCCGGGTTGAATGTGCTTTGTTCAATCTATGCGAGTTGCTTGAATATTAGGATTTGTTAATAGTTCATCTTCTAGGTAAATGACTTTTAGAACCGAAAGGGGATGGGTATGGAATTTAGGCCCGTATGAGGTGAACATTTTCTTCTAATCTATTTAAACAACTTTTAGAACTGAGAGTGGAGTAGTTGTTCGATCTAGGCTCGTGTAGAGTAAACTTGTTCGTAAAAGTATTGTCTATGCGTTACTTGAGTTTATCGTTTATGTATGTGCTCTAATTACCAAAAGATATTGAACATATACCTCTAGACGTGTAGGCTTGTAGAATCACGTAACCGAACGAATATGCATTCAACATAGTTTAGGTTCGATGAAACTTCCCGACCCATAAAAACTCTTCTAATTCTCTAGCGTTTTAATTGTTATTATTTTATTCACTTTTCAAGTTCTAATTAGTTTTAGATATTTCTACAAATCAATCGTGGTTAGAGTGTTTAGGAGTTAATTTGCTTTTGTGTGCTATCAACATCGAATCTAGATTTCGAACCGTCTTACTCGAGAGATCGATCCGAGATCGAGATTTATTCCATACTCGATAATAAAACACAATTTGCTAAATTAAAGAATTCCAAATTAAAGATTAAACTAAATTCGATACGTAAGAGTATTAATAAAACTTGAATAAATAATAAATTTTAGAAATTCTAAGTTAATTTATAAATACCGGCGGTTAAAAGAGTTAAATAAATTAAATGACTATGTATGCGTCAGTACATAAATAATT